CGGACTAATTCATCTTTTATACATTTTTGTGCCAAATGCGTTATCAAAAGAAGAACCTGAAAATGTTTCACCATGCTGATTCTTGATGTCCTAATGAGGCCTTATTACTGAATAAGCACATTCTCCTAGACAGAACGGCAGACTGGTAAAGACTGGCAGTTAGCTCGCAGACATGTCAGTTGCGTGCTTCAGTGTGTTGACGCCGCTGCCAAACCCTCATCATGCACAGAGACTTCCCTGCCCATTCTGTCTCACACACAGAACAACGAATGTGACAAATGAAGACTGCCCGTGAGTGTGTGTGTTTGTGTGTGTGTGCCTGTCCAGTTGACTTAATGTCTTTGTAGGAATCAGGATTAAGTTGTCTCGCTCACACACAAAGCTTATGTAAAGCTGATCTACAGTATGTAGCGTTACGCAAGTGTAGATTGGCTGGCTTTTCGAGCCACCTCAAAAAGCTGGCACCTTTTCCTGAACTGCTCATTCTGACAACCAACAATACCCCTGACAATGACAGTAATCACTTTATGGTGACCAAGGGCAGTTGCTTATGCTTACCGCATGGTCAAACAGGAATAAAATCAAATCCAGGAGTGGCTTGAAATAAAATGTCACCGTCAAACTGTTAAAGCTACAAAATGAATGACAGATTTGGAATTGCTAGAAGATTTTGGCAATAGGCATGTATAAAACCATCAGCAATCAACTACTGATCCTTCTGTTAATCATTAGATATTTCACTCATAGGGTTTTCATGTACAGTTGATGTAGTTATGTTTCTCTTCAAATCCTACATTAAATCAAGTGATTTATTGCTCCTACTGGTGGTCCAGACCTCCCCCCAAAAACAAACTATGCTAGTTCATGAACACTGAAAATAAGCAGGTGCTTTCAGACAAAAAACATCTAACTATCTTAACTCTGTCTTCCAAATAAACTGCTGTTTATTTGATTTCTATCTACACTTAAGTAGACAAAAAACAATCAGAACTGTTCTTTTTTCAGTCTTTCTTGACCTTTTTATTCATAGTGAATAAATTTTAAGCCACACCAAAATCATTTTAAAAAATTAAATCAAAGCCATTCGCAAAACAACTGATGATTGCTATTATTCCATATGCATATCATCGCCCATCTCGGGATCCACCTCTTCTGTAAGGCCTAACAAAAACTCAAACACACTCTTCAAACACAGCTTGGCGACCTTGACACACAGAATCCCACTCAGTAATCATTTAGCATCCAGCACTAAAATAAGTTTTTTCTACTGCCAAAAACAATCAATATGCAATTAAACAAGCCAACTAAGGACATTCCAGGTGCTGCAAATCATAGCTATCTACTGTATGATTGAAAAAAACAAAACAGAGAACACCAGAGAGGAAGGCAGAAAACACATAGCTCTTTTTTATGAAGAAAGCAAGTACATAATAATGATCTAATCAGACTTCCTTGTCTTTAAAGCATTCAGAGTAGGTGAGATCCCTCACTAACATTCCTTCACCGAATAGGAGTTTCCAGTAACCTGCCCGGCTCTTCATGACTCAATGAATTCCAGCCTCATCTTGAATGCATGAGGCATTTAAATGTATGTAGCCAGTGGACTCCACACGGGGAAATCGATAGTCAGACCCCAAAATGTAAATGAGATGTGAACTGAAGCCTCTGTTCCCTGCGTAGCAAATCTATCATGTATGAGCTCACTAAAATGTCCAATCACTAGAGGAAAATATTATCTCGGAGGTGATCCAGCCCAGGCTTATTTAGCTGCATTTGCTGTGCTGAATTAATGATGGAGCAGAAGGCGAGAAAGATCAATGTGGCCGGCTTAGGCTTACACGTTTTATGCCAAAAGAGAATGAATCAGCCGATCGATATGAATTGAGAACTTGCCTCTTTTAGTGCATACAACATGAAGATAATGATAGCTACAGCATACATGAAGATGATGAGGTTTGACATGATGAAGCAGAGAGGGACCCGCCAATATGACTCAGCACCTGTTTTGCACCCCTCTTTTCCTCTGTCATCAAGAAGATTGAGATTGTTTTAATAAGGTTCATATTAATACAGGGGCCTTCCAATGATTCTTTCTTCAGAAACCCACCCTTATATGGTGGGTTACAGCTTTCTATCATGCTGTCACAGGATCCCTGCAGTCTCATGTCCACACACAGCCACCGCATCAAGGCAAGTTCCTGCAGTCCCCGCAGAAGCCTCTCCGTAACACAATGCAGACATTATTCGTTCAAAACGTCAACAGAGCGAGTGCGTTATTGGATTAACATGACACAAGGCAATTAGGTCAATCAGCAAGTCTTTCTCACCTCAGAAAAAGGGGGCTTCTGGATCTGTTGCTCAGCTGTGATTGAATAGCAGACTAATTCCGCAACATACCCAATCTAAACCTGACTAGATGGTGCTCACACACCCCCTAGAATAAATATTCAGTTCTCCTGTACACGAACAATGCCTCCGCTCTGCATCCACAAATAAGGGGCACCTCATCATTTCTGCTTCAGCACACTGAAAGGTCCATTCCCTGTAAAGGGTGTCCACTCTCCCCACCCAAACCACTGCTGATTTTTTTTTTGTAGTTACCATACGTTGTTTTTGTTGAATCACAATCCCAGTATATCAATGCACATGCAAATGCCTTACCTGTGCGGCGCAGTGTCTTCCAGAGCAACTCCGGGTCCGTCGGACACACAGGCGCCGCAGCCCGCATTTACCGTAATGGCTAGATTATGAGTCACACGGAAAGACTGCGTCCGCGTTTAAACTGGTCATTACGGCGCTGAGGAAAGCCTTTTTGCTGGAAATTACCACAGAAGTTTAATATGTATGAACTGTTAGAGAAGATTAAATCAGGGACAAATGAAGAGAGAAAAAAACATACCCGGGTGAGTACTGCATAAGTAATTCGGTTTGTAAGAGACTACCTTCTCTGAGAGACTCATGCTTTCTTTTTAAATTGGAAGATGCCGAAACAGAGGCAAAATCATATGTTGTTGGATTTTTTCTTGATGCATGACGATAATAATCATTTATAACCTGGGATATGTTAATACCATCTGCGGACAGTCGTTAGATTTAGGGGTGCCAGCTTAAATGTCCATTGTGCAAAGTCACATTCCCCTTCAGGTGTGAAAAGTATTTAGGAGCCACACCACAAAGAGATTTTTTATTTATTTATTTTTTTAAGGACATTATAAAGAGGTGTATGTCCTTATTTTTTTGTATATTTACAGTCGTCTCCACATATACTTTCGACAAAATGCGCTGACACACCCATGAAATTGTGTAATTAATTGGAATAATCATTATTGGTATAGACAGCATACAGCATCTGCGCATCACTGTTGCTTCAGGTGTACCTGTCCTAAAATGAGCTACCTAAAATATTAATTGATGAAAGAGCACCCCCCAAAGCAAAACTGCTCAAATGACACCCATTTATAGTGCATGATACTTTCATATAAATGTGCTGGAATTGTCTGAATTACTGAGAGTCAACAAACAATTTGGCATTTGTAAATTCTGGTTGGTCATCATGAAATCAGATGCTGATGTATAAATACACATTCATGTCATTGTGGGGAGTGGAGGGTTTATTTGGTTTCCCTGCTTTTGCCTTCATACATATGAGAAATATCGCCCCTTTGTGGCCACATGAGATTCCTTTTATATGTCAGCGTCACAAGCCAGAAAATCTGGAGCATTAAACAGATGCAACAAGGATGAGTTAAGGTGGACCTCCTGCTGGAGAAGTGAGGCTGCTGCATCTCCTCTAATTTTCATCCAGAGGTGAGGTCACTTGGTCGAAACAGCTGGCGAGAAAAGCAACTGGAACAAAGGGGAAGCGACCTTGGTTTATATGCAGAGTTTAGTGTAAGGGAAAAATCCGTCTGTTCGCATTATGTCAGTTAGTTGTTGGGTGTGTGCTCATGTTTAGAATAAATATTCAGGTTACCAAGAGCAACTGAGGGCATCTTGTTCTAGAAAGAAATAAGGTCTCAGTCACTAACTAAACCCAATTCACCTCTCTACCTATCCTCTCAAGCCAAAGATCATCAACAAATGATTAGGATCGTTTGGATTTGGATGAGTTTCTCACTCTGGTGTCCTGGTAACCATCACTGGTAGAAAACAAGTGACACACATATGTGTAAACCGGAGGGATGACCTCGGCCACCATCTGCATATTTGGCCTCCTGGTAGTTATGACAGAAATTGTAAAAGGGTGTTATGCAGTCAGCATCGAAGCCCAGGCTGTGGCACCGCAGACATGGCCTCAAAAAGCTATGACCTGGATAGATGTGAATCACTGAAAATCAATGGCATGGCCTTACAGGAGTTTATCCATCAAGTAGAAGAGTTTAAAGCCTTGTTATAGTTCATCAGACTAAACAAGAAGAAGGGGAACATCGCTATTTTTACTCACTGGGTATAAAATGGTAACCAATCATAATTAGCCATATCTGTGAATTTCTTTATTTTTGCTGTAATGAAAATAAGTTTTTGTAATGTATGATGCATTGAGAACAGGATATAAAAAGGTTGCAACAGTGTGTTGATTTGCATATTTAAATGATAAAAGGGGTCATTTATTGGAACACCTTGAAACTTTGGAGTATCTGTTCACTGACCAGGAACAAAGCATATGCTGCGTGCCTCCGGGGTAGGGGTGGCTCAGCAGGTAGAGTGGTTGTCACCCAACCACCAGCTCAGCTGTTAAACACACAGTCCCTCCAAGTGTCAAAGTGCCCTTGGGCAAACGGAAGTTCAGTTTTATGTCCACCGGAGTGTCACCATAGAGGGAAAAGTACTGTCTGTATATCAAGAGTGTGTTGGCAAATGACATATCATTTAACAGTTTGTGGAACCAAAAAGAATATGAAAAAGCTCTTAGAAGAAATTTACTGAAAATCAACATGAGATATGCCAAAAGAGAAGACATCCATTGTTTACTAATGATAATATTTACTTTCTTCTTTTTCATGAAAGTACATACCAAAATGACAGCACATTTAAAATCAACAGTACTTACAAACCAATAAATGCTACATTAAAAATATTTCTACTATAGGCTTCTCATATGTTCATTTTTAAGACATCAGTGGAAATAAATAGCATGTGATAACTACAAACAGTATATATTCTTCATGCTGTAAAATAAGCTCAGGTTAACAGACAGTACCTAAGTCACATTAAAAATCTGTAACTGTAACAGGAGCTGCAGAGGTCAGTTAAAACTACAGTGACACATGTAACAATATAAAATATCCATCAAAAATATGCATCAAAGTATTCAGTAAATCACCTCAAATATATATATTAATGGAATGTATTCAATATGCCAATAAAGACCCCTTGAGCACATTTTTATCTGGTCTCTGGTGTGGAGAGATCTGAAGAAGAAATTATACAGTTATTATTCATTTGATTGGCAAATATAAAAGAATGAGAGACGTCAAATAACTGCCTAAAACTTCCCTTCATCTTGGCTCTCAGTGCTTTCACCTAAATCTGTAAGATGACTGTATAACTCCAACTGTTTTACATGCGGGATGAATTATTGTATAAACAAATACAGTTGTAAAATAAGAAAAATGTTATGAATAACATTAGACTTGTCGATAATCAGAGGGAGTACGTGACTTCTCTCTTCCCAGATTAAACAAAGAAAAGGGCAGGGATGCCTCAGCTGCCACTGGGCGAGCAGGTTCTGTTGTCTCCATGAGAGGGCAGTGCAGCACAGGCGGACTGAGCCAGAGAGTGCTGGGAGTTTGAGCCCTTCTTTGAGTGGGTGGCTGCGATAGACTCGTCCTCTCCAGATGGGACTTCTTGTCCATCTTCGGAAAGCAGGGACATTTCCTCGTCTTCGGCTAAAGGAAACACTCGGGGCTCCCATGGTGCCTGAGGCTGGAGGGCGTAGACAGCACAATATACAGTTTCTGTGAGCAATTATCTTCATAAAATCAAGTATACATTCCAGTATTATATTAGAAATAATATATCATTTCAGCAAGGGCGGTGCACGTGGAATTGGAACGTCATTTGTAAATAGAAAAGAAATGACAAGTTCTGCACTATCCAGTTTGTCTGACCACTGGAGTGCATAAGAAGAGCAAAGCATTAAAGTCGAGCATGTCTGCATTGGAGAGGAGGCTGATTAGCGTGGTCTGGTTAGGCAGCGACTCCTTCCCTCTACAATCAAAGCAAAGAGGTAGCGAGTGCTAAAATCAGAGCACCATCAGAAGAACCAAGAGGAGACAAGTATCTATGTTGTCTCTCAAGAACCCCTTAAGGTTCTAAGATGGACATGAGCTGAATAGCAAAAGAGTGTCTGTTAAGTCAGTTTTGCTGCTTAATATTCTTCCTCTCTGCCTACAGACAAATGATAGCTCTTTATCTTTGATGGGGATGCTGCAGAAAAAACATTAAAGCAAAGTTGTGATTTGGTTTCTTTATCTTTTTGTCTTTTTTTGAATGCCTCATTTAAACTCTTGCTATCATGACACAGTTGTTTGATTAAATGAATCCAAAAATTACAAAAAGAGTTCCATTCCTGTGATGACATGATTATGTAGCTCTGGTTATTTCTTAACCTCAGTAATTAATCTATAAAACATTTTACGCAGTTTGTTGTAAATTATTGTAAAAACTATTGTTTTGTGCCACTGAATAAAAACGTCTGATTGTGCTTTTAAATTATGCAGGATATCATTATACAATCCCTTCATCAGAGGTTAATTTTGCTGTGCAACTATACCGCGGCATAAACTCGTACATATTTGCAGAGAAAATATTGGCTGAAGCCACCGGGGGAGATGACAAGCTGAGAAGTGTACGACATCATCATCCAGTCATAGCATGGTATCATTATATAAGAGGTGAAGGGAACTACAGAAATGACATCTGCACATTAAGTTAAGAGAAATTCATTGTTGGATCTGCTGTAATTCCTTGATTTTCAGTAACTAATTATAGAAAGCAGACTGAATTTAACAGTTAGGATTGAGATGTATTTATAATACTCTTAATGCTAGCAATAATCCAGAATAACAGAACGCAGCACCTCTGTGTCAGAAGAGAAGCTTGATAACGCTCTGTGTAAAACTCTGTTTAAGTTCCCTCTGCAGTCACCGAGATACTGTATATCTATATATACTCTTATAATCAAGACTTTTTCATGGAAATATGCAGTGTCCGTTTTGGTGGGTTTGATCTTACCAGCCACTCTTCTGACTGCGACTGTTCGTCAGAATCCAGCTGAGCACAACTCCACTCCACAGAGCTGTCCTCTCCTGATGTGCATATCCCTCCCCCACTGCCTGATAGCCTGCTGCCAGATCTAAAGAGGGACAAAGAAAAAACACAAGCATACCTCATGAAACTCCAGGAGAACACGCTTTCTCAAAACTCTGCTTTGGCACAGAATGTATTGACATGCAGGAAAACCAAACAAGCCTGCAGCAGCTGCACGGCACATTCAGCAATAGGCTCCAAAAATATGGGCTTTAATTGCACTGTCAGAGGTCCCACTTTGTTATTTGAAATATAAAATAAAAAATTATTATTTGTGTAATAGGATCCAAACTGCACGTTTTTTTTTTTTCTGGTGCTGAAGCTGCCATCCTACCTTGTGGGACGTCTGCAGCACTTTCTTTTTTCCCAAATCTGCCAGCGTAATTTCTCCTTGTGCTCCACAACCAGGTGCCTCTGAGCGAAGACTTCATCGCTGAGATCCTCAATCTGTGCCCAAGCCAGAGCAGACACAGGAGCATTGGTTTGTTTAGATATAGACACTTTATACTTTCTGTCCAGATGGAAGACGCCTTACCTCCCACATTCTGTCTTCCATCCTTTCTGTTAAACGCTGGATGTCAGCCATCCGCCAACTGCCAAGAGGACAGAGCTTATAGATTAGTGTGATAATAAAACTGGATTCTGTATACATTATACACTATATTATTTTTCTCATTTCAGATCAGACCCAAACTACCAATAAAACTGTGACAAAAGCTTTTATTTCTTACTGTCCAGCGCAGAAATGAAAACAATCATTTAAAAAAAAGAATCATGCCAACTGTGCCATAAGTTTGAAGTGTTTTTTTTTGTTCTATACCTGGGTGTAAGAATGTCTTTGTACTGCAGCTTTTCCACTTTAGAAAGAGGCATGGGGATGACTATGTCATTGATGTTGTACAAACTATCTCCTTGGCGTCTACGGATCAAGCTCTGAAAAAAAGCGTGGAATACACTCAGTTATAGCGGTGCTGTAATTCAACAAGTGTAAAGAAGATTTAAAATATTCAAAGTGGTTTTTCATCCAAAAGGGCACAGTTTAGAACGTGGAGCTCTAATCAGCCATAACTTAATGTGATTCAGTTACAAATCAGTATGAGCTGATTGTAATTTTTAGCTCTGCAAAGCTCCCAAAGCGAGTCAGGGGAGCAAAGCTAAGAACGAGGTAATACAACTACAGCAGTCCTTCGACTGATTCAGGATGAAAGTGGAAAACATTTTTAAACTATTCTATCAAACAATCTTAAACTGTGCCCTGGAGTTTTACGTTCACAACAAAGAGGTCGTTTTCATGTTATTCTAACTGATGGGTCCCATTGTGACAACAATAGAAAATATATAATTAAATGCAAAAACAATACACCCAGCTCTAAATCACAAAGAGTTCGTATTCTGAACTAAATAAAGAAATAAGGAGAAACTGAGGAAACACAATTATACTAATAATTTGATAACATTTTTTAAAAACTCACAAATGTGAGTGAGAAAATGTATTAGAAATCATTATATTATAGAGAGTGTTACAGTAGCATAAAATGTGGATCCTGTTACCTGTGAGGCCTGCTTGTGTGTGACTTGTGTGTAATTCCTCTCCAACACATCATCAGAACTTTCTTCTTGATCACAGAGCTGGTACAGATCATCCTCTTGATCTGGCCACACGCACACACACACATACATAGATGCTAAATGAAGTGTAATCTGACAAACATTTAACCATTGCTGTGATCTCCTGTTGCAGATTTCAAATTCGACCTCAAACTTGAATTGAATCCTCACTCAGACAACCAGACAACTAAGTAACATGAAATCGATCAACATGTTTCACAGTCCAACCGATTTTACCCATTACTGAGCAAAGGCGGATCATTGAAAGCCTGAAGTGTCACGTTTGATCAACATAGCCTTGTTGATTTATTCTGTATCAGCGATTCTGTGTAGTCGTGCACTGAATTTACACACGTTCAATCCTTCTGTGCACGTGTCCCTTCTTCTTTTTCTTGTTGCGATGATTCCATGCAGAGCCTGGTGACCTGATTGGTGATAGATCCATAACTCGTTTTTTATGATGTCTTGCATGTTGCTTGTATTTGTGGCCTGAAATGACAAAAATACAAAATATATATATATATTTATATACTGTATACAGTTTGTTCAGCAGGAAGAAAACAAGCAGATGGTGCTGTCAGCTTTCAGTTAGGGTTCCCTTCAGTGAATACAAGTGAATAGAACAACTTCTTCAAAAAGATCAAATGCCAGTTTAATGGAGTTTTATATCAATCATCAGTAAGAAGCTCTGCTGTAGACTGGCACGCTGTCACCAGCGGGCAGCTGGGATCAGCTCCAGACCCAGTGACCATGACTTTGATGGAGTGCGTTTATTTGAAAACGATGTCTTTTTGAATACATCAATTTTTCATAAAACTGGGCCTGTCCTAGACTTAGTCACACAGCTGTTAATACCTGAGCAGTAATACCATCTCATTTCAATAATGACCAAGCATAAATTAAAATGTCATACTTGTTCGCAAGGTCTGATGAATGTTCAAAGTTCAGAGGGGAAAAGACTGAATAAGCTGGGAAAAAAAGAAAAGGGAAAAAGAAGGAGCCTACTTTTGTGCCGTGGCGTGGAGCTGTTTCTATTGTAGTTTCCCAGACTGCACAGTTGAGAGTTGATCACTAAAGGTCTTTGGGACCATTCTTCTCTGGCCACGACCCTCTGGAAGCCGTCACATGTGTGAGAGTCTGGGAGGAGATAATACAATTCAGAGCATATAATGGAAATAGTTTCAGAATTGAATTCTGTGGGCGCCCCAGTGAGTCATACCCTCATGCATTTAATGAAATATTGCAAAAAAAAGAAAAAGATTAAATTAATAATGTGACTGAAATGCTCTCTTTAACGCGCAACTTGTTTGTTTTTCCAGGAAAACAGAACATGTTTGCGCTCGCTTTATTTCCCCTACCAGATGAAAGAGTCGTGACGGAGTGCGGCCTGGAGCCGGAGGCGCTGGACGACAGGGAGCTGCAGTCAGGGTTAGAGCAGAGAGCTACGGAATCACAGGGGGAGCCACATGAACAGGAGGATGAAGAGTGGCACAACGAGAAGGCAGGCCGGGGCTTCCTTCCTGAATTCTAGAGCACAAAAATGAGAGACCACAAAAGATTTTATTTTCCATTTGATGGCAAATGGTCAATAGAGCATTTCAATGCAGCAGCCTCACATACAAGGGTAAAAAAAAAAGATTAAAAAAAGACTGGAGGTGAATGAATTTGCATCAGTACTACTAAATAATAATATTTATCATGTCTGTGTTAACGAATAAATGTGTATGTGCACTTTGACAGTTAAATCTGACAGGAAAAACACAAGGAGAACAAAAAGCCCACCGGTGGACTGACGAGGCTGTCGGAGCTGAAAGTGAACAATCTGCGTTTGTGGTAGGTGAGCAGTGGTCGCGTACGGGCGCACACACACGACACGTCAGCTTTGAAGAGCCTCCGGGTCCACAGCCTCTTCCTCTTGGAGCTCCCACACACTGAAACATCACCTCCACTCAGACCACTGCAGGAGCCAGATCAGATCAAAAATACACTGTTATGACAATGTTATGACAGATATGGTGCGGTTTAGCATCGTCTAACTGGCAAAGAAGCCATATCTATCATTTGGAAACCTATGCACAAGGATCAGGCCTTTCCAACTGTGAACACTGCCAGTTCTGTGGGCATTAATCTACCCACGTACTATCAGCAGGGCTGACTTATGCCAGATGGTCACTCTTTAGTCTGGATGAGGCAGTATGCTTTATTTCCACAGAGATTCTTAATATCTTCATTCATCTGACCAAAGAGCAGATTTCCTCTTTGTCTCAGCCCATTTTAAATATTTTTTTGTCCAAGTGTGGACACATTTCTACTTCATGAACTCTTATCCTCTCAGGTGCCTTTAATGGACACTTTCAGCAGAATGATTTCAATAGGATTTGTCCGTGTTAACACAGCAAATGTCTAGCAATTTGTGAATTACTTTAAACAAAAGCATTAAAGCATCAGTAACTGGGATGTCACGCACCATGTGGAGGTTCTTCTTCCCTTTGACATCCTGGGTTGATGAGAGGGTGGTGAAAGGCTGAGAGGAGGCATAAGACTGTTTACAATCTGGCTTAGCTGGGCACTCTGCAGAGAGAAGATCACCCAAATGCATTTCACACACTGATATAGTGAAACAGAACTGTAAAATACAATGTGAACCATTCACAAACCAGCATCTCAACCCATTCCTAAAGCAAAAGATAAAACAAAGAAAAAAAAACACTCTTTCTCTCTTTCACACACACACACCTTCTTGGAATCACAAATAGATGCTCCTTTGGGATTCGTAAGTGAACATATGGTGGAACCAGAAAATACTTTTCAGATAATTGAATGCATTGAGAGTGCTGGATTAAGAGCTGATTCTCAGAGACAAACTCGGTTTTAAGACCTGGAACTTTTAAGAGGCTTTTGCTTTCTAGGATGATGACAGCTAGCTGACATCATGGGGCAGCGGCAGCTCATTAATTCCACCTGCAGCCTCTTATGTTGTATAAGAACACGTGTCAAACGGGAATCGCACCGTGGGAGATGAAACCTCCTGCACTTTTCTACAATTCAGAGAGAAAAGTACCATCTCCTGGCATAATGTGCAACATCATACATCAATCATCTTTGCTTGTGTGCGCACGTGAGTCCCTCCCTCCTACCTGTCTCTCTATGTTGTGCAGAAGGCGGGTGGGGCTGCAGGGTTCAGCATCAATGTCCGAGGCTGTGCAGGACAAGCCAGCCATTTCCGTCATAAGGCTCTGCTGAATTTGCCTGTCAGTGAGCGGCTGGGAGTCTGCCAGCACCACCTCGCCCTTAGACACACAAAGTACAACGGGCAACGTTTTTTAAATGTTTTTTCAATGCATAAGTGGTGCATGAGAGTCATTGCTACCGTATTTTCCATACTATAAAGCGCACCTGGATTGAGCCGCAACAGGTCTCGCAACTACGTCAAGCAGCCGCCGACTGCATTTTTTCCCATAGAAGAAGTAGCACGATGTACATGCTGGGAAATATGACTGTGCGAAGCATGCATTTCTATTTAATTGCATTTTATTTCATTTAGCTAAGCAAGGACGGTCATATTGTGAACTTGGACATTCAAGTTTGAACAACATTGAGTCATTGTTGTATTGTTATTGCTTTGCACTATTTCGAGCTTTACTACATTCTGATTGCACTAACGTTTGATTTACCATAACGGTATCTGAGTGTTTCTTTCACGTGTTTACTGAATCAAGGAAAAGTTCCCCTCCACTGCGTGATAAAAATGTTGCACTAACTATTATACAATGCTGTTGTTAAAAGATAAACCGTGTCGCGAAAACACTACGTTACTGACATTACCTCGGGAAAAATAATGAAACAGCTGTTTATTCATTTTGGTTTGTATTCTATTAATAAAGTTTGACTGACTTATCTGACTGTTTTGTTGACATTCTCTTTAGCATTGCTGCATGTAGTGAATGCATACGGCAACCCTGGCCAATACTGTAGCTTCTATTCTATGTGCCTTATAGTGCGGAAAATACGGTTCTTGTTTTTATATCCTTCTTACCAAACTGTCCTTTACTAAAGTGGCACTTTTACCATACCTTGGTTGAGCGGATGTGCTTGTGAAGAGTGACCAGTTGTTGCATCCTCAATTCCAGCTCGGCCAGGCGCAGCTGCAACCAACTCCATCTGCTGCTCAGCTCCGCTCTCTCCTCCAGCCACTGCCTCTCACAGCTGCTGCTGCTGCTAGAAGAGGGGGTCAAAAGATTCAAAGCTGCTCCCACAATGAAAAATATTCCTATCTCCAATTTTACTTTAGCACAGGGGGAACACTTCAGAACATTTCTGGCCTATTTCTAATGTTGGACATGGAAGGTGTGTTTGTCTACGGAGCATTTCAATGGCCCTTGAAGGTTGAGCTAGCAATTTCTCTTCCTTGTACGTATGTGTGTGTGTGTGTCTAAGTGTGTTTCTGACTTCAGCAGCCCAATAGTTGCCATGGCAGTGCTCTTGGACCTTGGCTAGGACAGGGAGAGACCCCCCTCCCACTTAAAACACTCTGATGCAGAGGAAAAGGTTAGCCTGGCCGGCAAGCTGCTGCACACATTGCCCTTCACGATCCCCTTTGATATTGTGAGAAACTCCTCTCTCCCTTGGCCTATTTAATCACATACCACAAAATTTTGTTAGCCTGCCTGAACAAGATTACAGACAACCTCGCCCAAGAAAAGAGGAAAGATTTGAAAGCAAAGTAAAAAAAAGAGTTAAAAGCACCTTCTCAAACTTGTTTTGGATAAACTCTAAGCTGTTCTGTATTTGTTAGGGAGTAGGTGACCTCTTTCCAAACAGACAATGAGCAGACCTGGCTGCCCAGCAGCTCTTTCCAACTGTATAATGAGGAAATTCCAGGAATATTTGCCAAGCATTAGCTGGGACAGAAGAGGAGAGGACAAGGGGAGGAACAGTTGCTTTGTAACTTTTCCCCAAACAGCATATTAATCCTGAAGGTACTCGCACAATGCTGAATACAATATGAGGTCGACCAACTCACCAGCTATTAGTCACAGGGAGAATGTTTGGTTTCCACAGCCAAGTGTTGGCCGGGTAAATGTCCAGCCAGTGAAAGTGGCTCTGGGTTGAGATTCTTGGCTCTTGCGGAGGCATTAGGTTTTTGGGTGTTCCCTTCGTTTAAATGCTGACAAATATTCCCATAAATTGTATTTTCAGGGACAAAAAAAAAAAAAAAAAGGTAAATGAGCAACAGCTGGAGCTGAAGAGGGCTGCTGTGAGTGCAGAACCCCAGACCATGTCAGGGCTTTACAGGTTCATACTCTGAATGTTAAAGGCTAAGTGTTTCCACACTTTCCACACGAACCTGCCAAAAAAGCTCCCCATGGGGGGAGGGGGGGTCATGCTGTGCCAATTATGGTTACATAGGCTATTATTAAAGCGTTTGTGAATTAAAGAAAAATCAATCTAAGCTCACATGGATGTACTGTAGTGCTACATTTGATCTTTAATTCCATTCTGGCACAGAACTGTTTTTTTAAAAACATCTCCTGTCAGCCAGAAAAACACTTTAAAAAAAAGAGTTGTCGTGCCAAATCCAAACATGACTACAGGGGTTATGAGGGGGAAATGTAGAAAAATAAAAACAATAAGGCAACACTTTCAGAAAAGTTGTGACAGAACACACTCAGCTCTGTTCCCTCTATTTCCTATCACCATGTAACAGATTTATTTTGGAAACAGGGTGGAAATAGACTTCAAAACATAAATAAAATAAAGGTTCTGTGGAAAGTTTGAACTTTCCAAGGACTTTCCATCTGCTTCTAAGAGAATTTCTTTCCTCTTGATTCTCTTTTATTGAACATTTGAGCATAGTGGCACCTAAGGTATCCAAACAAATCATAGTGACACACACTGTGAATGTATTTGGTGGCAAAAAGAAGAGAGAGCCTTAGGCATGATCACAAAGAATGGCTGGCACACTGCTGACTTACTGGCAAGCCAGTGTTTATTTCCTACCCTGTGGGTAAGGAGGGGTGGCTTGTGAGCTGAATCTGTTATGACTGCTGTACGGAAAGAGAGAGTTATGAGTGAGCAAATGGCTAAAAAAAATCCCAACACCTTCCCCAGCTCGAAGGACAGAAGTTTTACTTATGGCAGCCGCAATGGAAACTCAGCCGCTCAAGGGCCGAGTCAAACACATATGTTGGTGTGTGGGCCTCAGACAGCTGACCCTAAAACCTAAAGAGTCATCTGACAAACAGAAGTGGAGCTTTTTCTGTCACTCTTGACTTTTGTTAATAAGTGTGTGCCTGATGTTATGGTTGAGGGAGTTTCTGTGGTCTCTAGCAATGTGTTATTACTGAAATCAACACTTCTGATAGCAGAAATATTCATCTCTGTTTTAAAGGTTACCCTTTCCTCTGATCCCTACCAGTGTGAAACACGTGAAGGAAGACAAAACCTGTTTTTTCTTGCAGGATACTCACACAGGCAAACTATTTCCATGGATCTCCTCTTCATCTGAGCTGCTGCCCGTGGCCTCTGAGTCCAAGGCGTCCTGCAAGCCTCTCAGCACCACCTGGCTGGAGTGGCTGAACTCTTCGACATCTGCAAAGAAGGGCGAGGCTCTGGCCGACTCGTGCCAAGAAAAGGGAGGGCTGGGGCATGCCTCCGGGGGCGCTAAACCACAATGGACGTAGTCCAGGCTGTCGGGTAACACATCTCCAAGTTGAGCGTGCTTCCTCAGCCCCTCCAGCTGCTGGTTGCAGTGCAGCAAGGCATGTTCTCCCAGCAGGACTTGGAGTCTCCTTTGCAGCCTCCAAGCCCGGCCTTCCAGCCTGGCCTGCCTGGAGAGCTGCTCCTTGACAGCCTCTTCTGGCACAGCGTTCGATGCCAGCTGGTCAGAGTTTACCATGCCAATGCCAGGCTGCACTGTGGCTGAATGAGGAGGGAAAGCTGGGGGACAAGCCATCCGAAGCACCTCCTCAGGCATAATTGTCGGTTGGGGTGCAAGCAGAGGATGTTCATCCTGAATTTTAATCTCCTCGGGGGAATAGGAGGGACAAACACCTGGCAGAGTAAGAGATGGGCAATACAGCTCACCGCCATCTGTTCCACACTCGGGAGCGGCGCACAGTCCGTGCAGCAGACAGGCCTCTTGGCTATTGTGCTCAGGGAGAGGAACTAAAAACATGTCAGATACACCTGGAAAGACGGCGGCCACCTGATGAGCGTCGTCCTGCCATTTGCTGAAGGAGAGGAAGTTAACTAGGGAGCTTGGAGCGGGCAGGGGCACCATCTCGCACTGACCGGCAGACGTCTGGGAGCACGTGGAAAGCTCAGAGTTTCCATCCAGAGGGCACGAGGAGAGGCAGGGACCCAGGGCGGGAAAGGAGCACACGTTGAGCCACATTTTCTGTAGGTCGCCGTCATCTATGGACCCCATGTGAAGATCCAGTTCCGAAGCCGATATGGCCGTCCTGTTCAAGTCCACTCTGGCAGGGGCCGAAGGCGAGGACAGGTGGATCCCATGGCCGTTTTTCAGGATTTTGGTCAGGGCCGGGGCCATTCCCTTTTCTCCTCAGCAGACTTCTCAGGCTGTGCCTTCAAATTTCTGACAGCAAGGAGAACACGTGTAAACAAGTTAAATTTGTGAAGAAATTACTGAAAAGTAACATATGTATAAAGGGAAAGGGTTAAAAAAAAAAAGAAAACAATTGTTAAACCGTTCAGAGGGCTGGTGGGGAACAGAGAAAACGAAATAAACTGCACTTTAACCCTGTCCGTTGGCTAACGGGTCTCCTGGGAAGCGTTAGGAAAATGAGTGAATTAATAACCTTTTGTACACTCTGCTCCCTTCATTAAGGTTTGTATTTAAGAATTACCTAAGTTTCATTAACTCTTTTTGTCTCGGGTAAACGGATTATTCCAGCTAACACTTGTTTTACTCTCACGCGCTATTCGTGAAACAAACTTCGCAGTAAAAACAAACGTTGGAGTCGGTCGTTTCTCTCCTCCAAACGGAAACTTAAGGCTAATTAACACGCCCAAAATGCGTCAAATGTATGTTTTCCAACTTCCTAAGCAGGTCCAACTGTGTTAATAGTCCGCTTGAAGTCTTCGGCTACTCACCTGAGCAGGAGTCAAACCGTTGACTGAGCATCGCGTATTCCCGAGAGGAGGACAGCTGAAAACGGCCAGTCTTTCAAAGCTCTCGCTAGTCGACGCGCTTCAACACAATAATCTCACGTTGCGATCAAACAAGCTGTCCATTTGTGTCACTTTCACTGCGAAATATCAACACATCAGTTCACGGTCAGGGATTTTTTCCCATCCTCCTCGCCCTCCTCCCCTTTGGGCTCTGTTGCTCTCACCAACCGCCGACGGAGCGAAGTGTCACAGTCGACATCTGAACGTAGAGGGGCTGGACCAGGCTTGTGATGCCTTCAAGGTCTCTTGTGGAGCTCAGATATTTTAGTACCCACTTTTTTTTACATCTGTTTCTGTTTGTTTTGGATCAATTATAGTAAAGGGAAACATTATCATGTGTAATATTAGAATATATTCAAAGTGCTAGATTAACCTGAGATTTTACACCTAAATATACCTAAATGGAGCAAAATCCTTGGACTTGTCTGCCTAATATCAGGGTTTTGTATGTTGTTACTTTGGCACAATCCAGATCCCAATACCTTCAAAACTGAGTACCCCTTCCCATGCATCATGAAACTTGTCTCTAACCCCAGGTTCCAGTGGTGAGGTTGCTTTGATGTGAGTTTTACAGACAAAGATGACAGGATCACATGAAGAACAGGACAGAGTAATGAACTGATTTATTGCTGAGACAGTTAATAGAACAGCATTGCAAGATGAAGTACACATATTTGTGAAATCTGTTCTTATCATCATGAAACAGCGAAGATACTAAATAAGTCACAATTCAGTCTTACAAAGAGGCAAAACAGAAGCTGGAAATTATTATAGAACCACAATACCTTACTACAACCACACTGGAAATATTCTTCATTAAAGGTAAAATGCAGATTTCAAACAAACCCACTGCAGGGAAATATACAAGTTGTTATCCTAAACAAACAACAGAGTGTACCCTGCCTCTCACTCAGTGACAGCTGGGATAGGCACGCTGCCCTAATAGGAATAAGCTACAGCAAATAGATAGAGGGATGGTTATTGTTGCTGTTTATAGTAGCCACTGCACTGTTGACACAGCTCCAATGACACAGCCGGTGTCGACGGGGCTATAAAATGATCTTCAGATCTCATATCCAGCACTGCATCACATTTTAGCTGGTTTTATTTCTAAACGATGTTCCCCAACAAATTTCCAAGTGGAAAGAGACAAACATTGATCAAATTTACATGATGAGACACATTCAAGCATTTCATTCCTGGACCTGGGCCATTTGTAGAGACAAAAAGAGATATACTTATCAGTAAAACCTTCTTTCTCTTCATTGTCTCTCTGAATTACCAGATGGGTGTTCCTTTTACTAAGTGAAGACCACTGAAGACACACATGCTTTCCAAGTGAAACATTCTTTCAGTTGGTTAAGGAAACATGCAATGTATTATTTGATCAAATCATAGATAATGAAAAGATTTGGTGGGAAGATATGGATATATTTTATACCTGTGTTCTGTTCCTCTGGTCTGAGCTGGCAGAATCACACTCCTCACTGTGGCGGTAACTCTGTGTGCGCGTCACAGCACTGCCTTGCTCTCTTCCAGATGTCTGCAGCCCTATGCCTGAACACAGCCTGGCTGACTCCCACATTGAAAGTGGTGCCTGACATGTACAAGTTGATGACAGTGAAATGTACATATTTACTGATGGATTCAGCATCAGTGTGTTGAGAAACGAAACTGTATTCGCGCCACACGGCAAAGAGCACATACAAAACCCCCTGAAGAATGCCTGTGGTGGTTACCCTCAATTGACTACTCAAACGTGGGCAAGAGAGTGACTGTCCATGTGCAACAATATGCCTCATGTGCTTGCACAGGTACACAACAGTGGCACCAGTGGACAACACCATAACACCCAAACAGAGAAAGTAATGTGACCTCTGTAATATAATCAAAATGAAATACATATCCTTCACATGTTTAGTGAACTCCTTCACAGGCATCTGGTTCATGTGATACACTGGAGAAGAATCATTGAGCCGAGGGTCATCTAAAGGAATGACTTTTATAAGCACCAAAAAAAAGTCAAACATGCTGGGAATGATTCCAACGAGCCAAATGCAGAATATGATGGGTTTGATATTCTTTTTAATCCAGATGAAGATCGCTCTGTGTGCAGGAACAATCTGAGTGCAGTAAAAAAAGTTCAGCCAAACAGAGGAGGATATACTCATGGACAAACACCAGACGGACAGCACAGATGTTGCTCGGGTGATGGTGTTGCTTTCAGCCAGTTCATCAGAGAAAAACGCAGAAAAAATTAACGCCAGGTAAGCAATTGTGCTGAGGATTAAGGAGCTCAGGAGAAGCTTCAGAGGTTGCTTGATCATCTCGCCTTGGAGAGGGCACACCATGCAGAAGAGATAAAATGCATTAGGTATAAGGTTTAAAGTAAAAAGACTCCCATTGAATACTACCCATGTTAGATAGTTCATCTTCCTGGTATGTGTTGCTTTCCAGTTTTGTATTTTTACTCCTCTGTAATGCTGGTGCATAGAAGCCAATGAGGCCTTCACACAATATGCAGTGAAATAAGTCTGGAGCATTTGCATCATATGGAAATAGGCTATGAAAATGAAATACATTAGGTTTAAATCACCTTTTTAAGAGAAAGAAAACACTTTTTATATATTCTCTTTGTATTCACCACTTTTGTTGCATTCTCATTAGGATTATCCACTTTTCTTGTCTAAATAGTTGCCAAAATAACAAACAAGATAAATCAATAAAGAAAATATATTATTATTATTCATGGGGAGTTCATAGGAAAAGGTTTAATATTTGACAGGCACATTTGTGAACACAAATCTCTACAAACCAGCATATAACAAATTACTTTCCCTGGAGTTTTTGTTTTTAACATGCTGCTAAAGGATACCACACAGAGTTAAATTAAGGCAGTGATCTTCCTGCATTCTTCTGGGCATCTGCAGAACCACAAAGCTCTTTATAGGGTTGATTAAGGCGTATTTACAAGTAGGATTTACAATGTCATGTTGTCATTCTTTGTTTTGATTAATTAGCTGTTGCTTTATGCTGAAAAACAATGATCAAGTGCAAAACTGTTATAGACCAGACATATTTGGCTGTAGCCAAGCAAACTAATACAAAAAAGAATTACATACATACATGTATCTGACATCTGATGAGCAATTTCTATGCCAGACCGGAGCCCAGAATCATGATGATAAAAGTCCAATATTATAGTGAATACTTGAATGTCCATCCTGCAGTTTTTTCTGCTGTTTTTTCGTTTGTTTGCACATGAAGCATGTTGAACAGTCAAGGGCTCCACTCCTTCTGCTCCCTTTAAATTGCTGTCTCATATCCATAGGAAGGAAAGAAACTCCTTTTCAAGCGTCTTTTCCTTTGTATGTTGGGGGTCTTCTTCCACTGTTCTTTCCAACTGATTGAACTTGTGAGTTTTTCCAACTCTGTTCCATGCAAGTGTTCAGTATTTTTGACCATTGATGTGCAGTAAGGTAATGGATGATGCCATTTTGGGATTTTCATCTACATGTCTTCTATTTCTATGCCGTCTCTTTTATCATAGTGGATGAAATCTAACCCTCCAACTAAAGAGATGTGACCAAAACAAAACTCGAGTACCTCAGTATACTGCAAGAGGCACGAAGACATTTGGAATGATTACAGTTTTAGCCCTTCACCCTCATGCCTACTTGTTACTGTTGGGATACTGCTTCACATCATGGATCCATCCCAATAAATTCAGGGCTCTGAGGGCCTTGCAGACACCAACCAACTTCTGTCTGAAAATCCTCTGACTGATGACCAGGTTAATTGTGGTGCCTGATAAGTACAGTGAGATTGCTGTGAGGGAAACCCCACTGCTGAATGAAAAGGTTGAGGAGAACATAAAGCTGGCTGTGTCCGTTATATCAAAAGCATAATACAAAAGATAGAGAACTCCCTGCACGATTCCACAGATTGTGACTCTCATCTGACTTTTCATGTTTGTTGTGGTGAGGTGGTTTCCTTGCTGTGCCATGTTTCTCATGTGTCTGTGCAGGTAGCGCACGGTGAAAAAGCTGGAAACCGTCATAACGCCCAAACAGATAACGATATATAGATAGACGGCTAGCAGTAAAGCATTGGAGATCCACAGATGGTCCTCAATGCCTTGTCCGGTCATTGTTCCATTGGTGTAATTGTCCAGACGGAAACTGTCTACAACAATAACAATACCACGGAGCAAAAAAAACACCCGTTCAAAAATCAAAACCGAATAGATGACAGTTTTGATGTTCCCCTTAATCCAGATAAGAAAGGCTCGATGAACAGGGACAATCTGGATGTAGTAATAGAAGTTTAGCCAAACATAACAAGTCGGGCTATTTTGTGCAAAGTATGAAATGAAAAAAAACACTGCAATCCAGTATTCATGGCTGGGGTTGCTCTTTTGAAAAATATAGAATACAGCTAAAAAAGCAAAATAAAATATGGAACACCAGACAATAAGTTCCAGCAGTGTTTTTAAGGGCTGTGTGATTCTTTGCCTGCCACCCAGTGGGATCATCAGGCAACAAGCAAAGAAGACATTCACAGCAATGTTGAAAAAAAGGAGTGGAGCATTAATTATTAGAAAAGTTTTCTCACCAATACTAATGATTTGACGTCTCATTTTTGGTTTGGTCGAAGATTATTTCAGAACAAGGCTTTCTTTCTGTGTTTGAAGGTCTCTTTGATGTGAGCTTTATAAGAGAATTTGGTGGACATGCGTGAGGATAGGCAAGAACATTAATTTCCATTATGGAAACAACGGCACCCACAAAAGGGAAGAAGGAGAAAAATCCTTGTACCAAAACGCCTTACTTATTTACATACATGTAAACAGTACAAACTGACGTTTCCTAACATTTTTTTGTCTTTTAAAACTTATGTATGACGTCTTTTTTCCCTCCACATGGAGGAAATCATGCGTTGACCGTCAGCTCATTCAGATACAATGGTTGAACAATTGGCTTATAAAATGTAATGGTCTTACACTTGTGAAATAAATAGGAATTTCAGCCAAAACAGATGTACACAACTACTATTAGTAAAAATAAAGTGAAATGTCCAACTTGAAATGGATAATGTGTATCTTGAGCTCTGAATGGTCTATGTTGGGCTACATCTTTGAGTGGCTTAAATGTTGTTTTATGCTTAAAGGATAAACACACACACACACACTCACTTTATCAGTTTTTCACTTGTGTAGAATGTGTCAGTCACAACTCCCTTCCAGATTCGAGAACACAGTTTTTTGTATGCGTTTACTCTGAAACAGTGAGGAAAAATGAACAAACGATTCACCATAAAAAGTTAATCTAAGCCCTACTCTTTCAGGAGTAGAATTTGCCCACTTTACTAATATTGAAAATTATTTAAAAACTGGAGACAAAGAAGAAATTCTGTTAAACCCTTTTATTTAAATAAGCTCATCTGACTAAAACGCCAGAATCAACATGTCAACACAAAGGAGGAAAATTCTCATTAAAATAATAAACCATGACAGAAGCAGCTAATTATGATACAACTCTACATTCGCACACTTTGAATCATTCTGGTATAAAGACAGATACAATCATTTCTCAAATAAATTCTCACTCACATGCACAAAACACTCTCTCCCCACTTGTTCCACTCAAAACAAAGCACTCATACTCTTAAAGCCACAGGTTTATCCCTCTTCAGTCAGTAAGTGTGTATGAATGCGATATCCATTCTGCTACATGTGGACAACTTGGACATACATGGAATAAATAACAACCGACATCAGGTGAATGATCAGAATCATTCCTGGCTGTCAGTTTAAATCAGCATGAAACCAGGCCTTGTGCATCCCTCAGTGGTTTGTGGTTATCATCAAAAACCTTCACTGAAGGAGAGTGTTTTTTCGATCACAGCAGTGGCACTCACATTAATTTTTCAGCCCTTGAGAAGCTGCAGTTTTTGGAGTTTTTGCACGTTCTGTCTTTTTGCTACACATCATACATCGCCGCTGCGTATTGGGTTTTTCCACTTCCCTGCTGAGCACAATGATAACGTCACATATACTTCAATTTATCAGTGTGCACTAATGCAGTGCGGTGTTAGCAGGCCTTGCTGACTCTGAAAACAGGAGAGGCGGACATGGTGTTAACTGTAATAGATCACTTAGCTTCACACACTGCAGCTGGGAACAACTGGATGCATTAAAGCTAGGAAAAACACATTAACCACCAAAGCAGCAACGCGAGGTACACATGAGTTGAAATTAAATGAATCAAAACATGCAAAAACGTTGAAATGGTCACAGGGGAACACATTTTACTTTAAAATGTGTTAGTGCACAATATGCACACGCACGCAAAGACGCATATTTGCATATTCAGAGTGCAGCCCTGATTTTAAATGATCAAATAAGTTTTCATTAACAGTGCATCTCACACATCAGCATTGTTTAGAGAGACGGTAGACAATGAACCATCATCACTGTCCATAAAACATTAGGTGTCCGACAGAGGGAGAGTTTGTGTTTCTGTGTCCAAAGATGGACACTTAAAAGTAGTCTCTCCTCCGTGAATCATCGCTGATGAAAGATGGATTCCACTGGGCGGGATAGATGCATGAATGGCGAGATCCTGGCAGACCTGTGAATGGATACAGGCCATTTCTCTCCAGGTCCGAGTTACGCAAAGCAGGCTGAAGGAAATGGATCAGAAAGAGAGAAGATTATGTAATGAAGACTAATGATTAAACTGACACTCAACCTCATAAAAAAGCCAACAGACAGGCGGAAATTAAATGAATATATATATATATATATTTGGAACCATTTGAATAAGCAGAAGTTGTAAATTTATGTCTCATGTGCGATCTTGTCTCCATCTAACATAAGCATCACCAGTCTACAAATACAGCCAACAATAAAGCCTAAATAGTATTTTGGAATAATTTTGGACTGAATAATTAATAGGTTTCCAGGTCCAGTTGTAAATGTCAATGCGTTCTCAATTAAACACTACAGATTTTTTATCCATCCATTCATCGCTTGTCCACCGCTTATCCAGGGTCGGGTCGGGGGGGCAGCAGCCAAAGTAGGGAAACCCAAGGACACACTTGGTCCATTTATATAAATCATCCTAAGGGGTCCTTGGGCTGCACTTAGTCTGATCCCTCGCCTTATTTATTTGTTACAGATTTTTTATTTGTTTTCATTTGTTACTTACAGAGTAGTAAATGTCAGTCATCTGCAGCAGGTTTTTCGTGCTGCCATTCTCCTGCATCTCTATGGTCTCTCTGCCCCACTCCATGGATATCCGGTTATTTTTTGGGAAGTCTGCGTACGGAGACATCTGCATATCTCCGCTCTTGAAAATGATCTTATTAATGTCGTTTTTGTCTTTCCTATTGGATTAAAAAACAGAAGTTCAAATCAAACCAGGATTCATCACAATGATTCACATCACAAAATACCAATGAGAAAATGTATGTCATCTTTTTGTAATTTATGATTATCATAATATGATTTATGCTTCATTAAATCTGAGATGTAGTTATTTTTGTCAAGTCCAACTAAACTTACTTGCAGCATGTGACAATGAGAGCAATGATGAGGATGAGGAGCAGGGCGCCCCCTACAGGTGAAACCACAACTGCAATCAGCTTGTAAACTGTAATGTAGAAAAAAAAGGTTCAGTTCCATACTTATACTAACCACAAAAAATTTCAGTATGATAAGAAAATATTCAATGACTTACAGTTTCCGCAATTGAATCCACCAAATCCAAACATGCACCTAAAAAAAAAAAAAAATGACATGCTACAGAGGACAGAAATACTTCTGCATGGGCCGCAGCCGTAGCCTGATGGTTAGAGCGGGCGGCCCATATACAGAGCCTTTGCTCGCAAGCGGGCGGCCTGGGTTCGAATCCAGCCCATGACCCTTTCCCGCTGGTCTCCCCCTCTCTATCTCTGCCCCCTTTCCTGTCAAGCTACTGTCATTAAAGGCCACTAGAGCCAAAAAAAATTCTTTAAAAAAAAATAAAGAAATACTTCTGCATTATTAAATCTGTGACAACGATTCAAAGGTCCAACTTACGGGACACAGGTGCCGTTTTCTAACTTGAAGCCATCCTTGCATTCTGAAAGGAAAAAGGCCACAATTAGCCTGATTAGATTCAGCTATTTTCTCCTTCAAGGAGTCAGAAGCTTCAAGAAGCCTTCAATAGACAATGGTGTAAACTTAAAAGAACTCACCTAAGCAGGACAAATCCTCCGGATTGTGTTTGTAATATCCTTGGCGACACTGGCAGTATGCAGTCCCGTTGAGGTCTGAGCAGGTGGAGCGCTCTTTATCACACTGAGTGTTCTGAGCCTCACACAGACTCCCCGCTGGAACACAGAGGGGACAGACTAAGAATCTAAGACTGCTACAACCACATCAACTGTTGGACAACAGTAGGGCTTCCATTTACTTTCTGATGCATATGTGGAGCTACACACCTAACAGGGAATATTTTAGTTTTCCATAACAGTATTATTCTGAGATCATCTGATACATCAGCCGCATTATGTTTAGATGTTTCAAACAGGAGTTACTTTTTTCTCAATTTTAAACACTCCAGGACAATGAACAATTCTGCCCTCTACTGGCTAATGGTCTGCCCTCTATGTTTACATGAGGTCCAAAAAGTAGCCCCTATCACCTTAAAATGGGCTCAAACATAGCTGCTTTTGATGATGTTGGCAGTGATTTGTGTCTCTCACACTCACTGTGGTAGGAGAGCTGGTGCAGTAAGACCATCCTGCAGTGGGTCGATGCAAAGCTGCAGTTGCTGAGGAACATCTGGATGCTGTTGTTGACCTCAGTGGTCGTCACATCGGTGGAGATGGAAAACATGTTGACAGCCAGGATGTGAACCCCACCCTGCTCCCTGCGAGTAAAGGGACCTCACGTTGTGAGTTTGTTGTAATTGTTGGAACACCGCGAAGGCAAGCTGAACCCAGTGACGTTGCAGACTTACTTTTGGCTCACCGTTGAGCGACTGTAACCCCGAAGGACTGACAGAGACATGTTGAGCTGCGGCAAAGACGAGGAAGCGTGTAAAAGACATGACAAAGCTAACGGAGCGGAGAACGGCGCAGACTGCTGCTCACCAGATGAACGATCTCTCGCTGGATCTCGTGCATGGCAGCGCTCTTGACAGAAAGGTCGTGTCTGTTAAAGCTGAAGGTTCCCAGGAATGTTTTTGCTGCGGGAGGAACCGAAAAAAAGCCTTTGGGTCAGACGACCTAATTAACGTGGGAAACGGACTTTAAAAATGCGTGTCTTTGCATTGCTGCGTTACCTCTGGTGCACGTCCGCCCGTCCTCCAGATCAAAGCCCAGCGGACACTCACAGCTGAAGGAGCCTCGCGTGTTCACACATCTGGAACCGGTCGGACAGGGATTGTCCTCACACTCATCCACATCTGAGCACATAGTTAAAAAACATATCGCAATGTCACAAATTTGGGAACCTCCCCAAATCCAGAAAAATCCTAAATATTATTCCTAACACCATCCATTTCTGTGTTGAAAAAGAAGAGATGAGAAGAGGGAGCTCACCCTGGTTGCACGTGGGTCCTGTCCAGGCCTGCTGGCAGCGACAGGTGAACTCAGGCCCCTTATAGCTCACACACATCCCTCCGTTCCTACAGGGGTTCGACAAACAGGGATTTTCTGGAAGGACAGAGATGAGAGAAAAGGAGTTTGTAGTCATTTTTCCCCATCAATGTCAGCATCAACTTTTTGGAAAAATATGTTTTTTTTGTTTGTCTTCATATAATACTTTTTAGTCAGGGACATTTGTTGTTTAACAAAATAAGACATTTTTTTAAGCTCTTAGACTAAATGCTTCTACTCTTTTCAGAAAACGAAAAAGTCAAGGCTTTAGTGGACAGATTTTTTTTTCCTGAAAACTAAGGAGTTGAGCTTGAATTCACACAGGCCGACGTTAGACGTGTTGCTCAGTTTTAGGCACTGCGCCACACATTTTACAAGATACCTACAGCTAGAATTAATATCAACTTCTGTGAAATGATGTTCCTGATTTTTAAAAATCTGAGTCCTTTTAATCTGCCCTAATATTCATGTATGCTTAATAGTTTCACTAAACCTGTCTCTCGTGCTAGTTTTACTGAAAAAAAACAACCCATCAACAACAGCAACCCAGGTCATCTACTCACTTGGTAGTTCTCTGGTGGGTTCAACAGCAGTGGGTGATGTCGTTACCACAAAAACTGTGGCTCCTCCGTCTGACTGCCTCTTGGTGGTGTGCTGAGCCTCTGTGCTCCTTGTGGGGCTGCTGTGGGTGTGGGTGGCGGTGATGTGCTGGCTGTGGGCAGTGGTGGTCCTCCGGGTTCCCGTGCTCCCCTCAGTCTGCAGGGTGGTGGCGTCAGTGGGGTTAGCCGTTCCAGTCGAGGGCCTCTGGGTTTGACGGGGGGACGCATGGCGAGTGGGGCCGGTTGCAGACGTCTGCAGGGCTGGGGTGGAGACTCTTGTGGAGGGTGGCGTGTATGGGAGAGGTGCCTCGGTAGGGGATCCTGAGGTGGAGCTTCTATAGGTGCTGCTCAACACTGAGGAGGAGCTTAACGGCGCTGGAGAAGGGGTGGAGGAGGGCACGGTTGTGGTTGCGAAGGTAGCTGCTATTGGCGTGTCTTCCTCCGTTACCTGCGATCTGTTCAAGCGGGAATAAATCGATCAAGTTTCACAATAATTCCCCTTTAAAATTTGCTCAAAATAAAACAAAAAAATAATTCCAGACAGCATGAAAAAACATGAAGCGTCACTCTTCATAATAAGAAATATTTAATGCTAATAACTGTCCAATTGTGGATTAATTGATAAGCAGAATGATTTTCTTTATGGTTTACCTGTCGGTCACAGTGACCGGTGTGGCTGTGTGGAAGGCCCATGTGGTCTCTATAGGCACATCTGTCCGGGAACTGATTTCTGATGTACTGGTTCTGGCTGTAGAGGGCACAGCAGTTAGACCCCGGTCCACGCCGTGCTCACTGGTGTGAGATGAAACCCCTGCTGTGCCTTCCTGGTTTTGAGTGCTGGAGCTCTGCGTTTCTGTTGAAGACTCCGTGGATATCCCAACACTAGAGCCAGACACCTGCTCTGCCTCGGACATGTTTATGGGACCGCCTGCCGGCGAGGTAAAAGAAGGAGTGGAGGACACAGACACCTCCGACTGATCGGTGCTGGGCTCAGACACCCTGAGGGGTGGCGTAGAGTCCGAGGTCTGCTGTAAGACTGAGGTGTGTTGATCCTGGGTGGCATTAGGTCTTCCAGTTAAACTCTGGGTCCCGCTGGTCCCCGCTGGGCTCCCGGTTCCTGAAAAGGTCCCGGTCGAACGCTGGTCTGTCGTTTCTCTCCCAATAGTCCTTGTGGATGGAGCGCTCTGAGTATAACCCTCAGTCTCCGAAGGCCCAGGAGGAATAGCCCAAGTGGAGGAAGACTGCTGGGAGTTGGACTCTTCTGTAACAGCGGATGAGGTGTTGGTGCTGGAGGAGGTGACGGAGAGCAGGGTCCTCTCCCCAGCCCGGCTGATGGTGGTTGTGAAGGCGTTGTCGGTGAGGGTGGCGGTCTGTGACCCCGGAGCTGTGGCGTCCCCCAGGGTGG